GGGGGCCATCGCTATTTTCGTTGGAGGCCATTCCTTTTAAGGTGGAGGCCATTGCTATTAGGTTGGAGGCCATTGCTATTAGGTTGGAGGCCATCGCTATGAGGGTGGAGGCCATTCCTGCCTCTTAGGATGGAGGCCATTGCTATTAGGTTGGAGGCCATCGCTATTGGGTTGGAGGCCATCGCTACTAGGCTGGAGGCCCTTCCTATTCGTTTGGAGGCCATCGCTGTTGGTTGGAGGCCATCGCTACTAGGCTGGAGGCCAATTCTATCAGGCCATTGCTACTAGGGTGGAGGCCATTGCTGTTAGGTTGGACTTTGTCAGATGATCCAAAGAGGCCAAACCCACGTGGTGATGGGGCGATCAGTCTCAGGTTGACTTTCGTGGCCTTCCAAGCGTCCTTCTCGCTTCTTCCGCTACTACTAGGCCCGGCAGGGCACATGTCCCCCTGTCGGCATGAGCTGGCTTTGCATCGCTTGCACCTTTCACGAATCGCAATGTTTGGTGTTGACTCGTTGACTTTGTTTTCGCGCATTGACTGGGGAGGCTCGGCCTGGCTGTGGACCCCCGAAGTCTCGCAGGACTTTGCAGCGATGTGGCAGGCGATGCAATCATGATCTGTTGGACAGTTTGTATCCAGATGAAACTCTGACTCTTGCCCATTTGCCATGACATTCCTTGATAGAATGGGCTTGTTGTGCAAGAGGGCATCACAGCCACACCTTGTTGAAGGTCTTGCTGCTGAACGCTCTCGTGGCCTTTGCGCTAAACCTCCTGATCGCTTTGACCTTGCGTCTTGGAGAGTGAGGATTAAAAGGACGGATGTGACTGGAGTAGCTGCAGGTACAGTTGTAGTGCCGTCATAGACCCACTGATCCACTCGAAATACACAGTGCAAGTTCACAACCAAGGAAACGTCTATCGGCCTTGTCCTTCGTGCTGATTGGCCTCACCAAGGTGCGCCAAACCGAGGTCAGGCCATTGCTATTAGGTTGGAGGCCATCGCTTCTAGGTTGGAGGCCATCGCTAGTAGGTTAACGGCTTCTTTGAAACTCCTCTGGGATCATAGTCTAAGGGAAGACGCGTGTCAAAGACTGAAACATCGATTGACACGTTCGTACTCCATGGCTACGTGCGCTGCGCGCTGCGCAGCGATAAAACGAATGTGCGGCACTCTGCAGGATGTGAGCATCGTGAGCTCATCCTCGACCATTTTTGGTGATCCCATTTCTCGTCAGCAGACGGTGGGCTTCATGATCACCATGTTAGGTATTGCCTTGTGGAGACCTTCAGATGCATAGAAGTGCTGGAGGGCTTTGGGTGTGTGCAAGTGGCTCCTCAAAATCTAATTGATCGCTGAGGCCATGTGAAGTTCGCGGAGCAGGAGCAGGAGGCAAAAGAGAAGATGCCTATGATGGAGAAGAAGATCGAGAACGCCTGAAATGCCAAGTGCAGAAAGTGTAATGGATGCGCCATGGGGCGCACAAGACGGTTCCTTAAAATGGGACCGTGTCAAAACGAGTCAAAAATGGAGTCTCTGCACTGCTTTGGCCAGGGTTTGTCTCAAGGAGTTCGTTGCTTCGACACTGACAGGCTTGCATGCAGCAAAGTTCACAAAGGCCCTCCTGTGTGATTTGTGACATGAGCAGTCTTCCACTAAGGCGTTCCATGGACGACGCAAAAGGCACGGTGCTGAAGCCAACACATTGTCTTGAACAAGCACCACAGTGAGGCCAACCAGAGCTGAACGTGGACGATGCTGAAGAAGCAGACACAGCCTATGAGGTTCAGACTTTGAGCCTATTATTTGGACAATGCTTTTAAGTGAGCGATTTTTGCTTTTACACACTTTTGACAATTCCTTTCATTCTTACCTTTTTGAGTCTTCTGGATCACGCTCCTATACTTTATGCTTGTTTGAATCTGGAAGCGCCATTGCGCAGACGTCGAAGCATGTTGGGCACATGCTCGATTCTCCTTATGAATTGCCAGCCTATTCAGCGGTATTGGGGATCCCCCCGAAAGAGTGGCGGAAGGACACTGTGTTCCAATTCCGCACGCCTCACGCACTGCCAGGAGGCGCGTCCTCAGACGTTCCATGAATGGCTCACCAATTTCACTCAGGTGCAGCGCGTCCCAGGCGTGGTGAGAGAATGTGAATGAATTTGAAAAAAAAACATTGGGAGAACGCATTGCTGTAAATCTCAATTCACGACACTTTAGTAATCTTTAGTACTTTGCTGATTGAATTTCACTTTGCTCCGCCAGCCTCTACTGTGCTCCGCCTTGTCCAACCCTTGGGCCTACGATTGGATGTGGCAGCCAACAAGGCCTGAGGAGTCAGTCAAAGTCCGACCTCAACTCCTCGACTGCGAAAAGAGAACAAGAAATGACTTACTAATAGCAATGGCCTCCGGCCTCCAACCTAATAGCGATGGCCTCCAATGACAACAAACAAAGAGATGAGCAAAGGAAGTCAAGGCACCCTTGAAATAGGCCTTCCCTTCCCTTTTTCCCATTTTTTCCATCTCGTCCTTCCACACACACACACACGCATTTATATGTAGTATATATAACTATGCAAAATCCGTGAGCATTGCAAGTTTTTGATGTTTTTGTTTTGGGCCACGAGGCGTGTCCACCGGTCAGGTCCAGCTGAATCGGAAGTTGGCCGAAATTGCAGAGGAGAAGAGCCTGGACTTCCCGGGCTTTTTGCAGCTCATGCAGCCACTTGGGACGACTAAGTCTCGAGACGATCTTTTTACGACCTTTCTTCTTTAGACCTTGGCGGGGGTAGGCCGTAAGAGGTAGCTAGTGGGTTAAGTAAGCTTCCAGAAGATGATCTGGAAGAACGGATGAAAGAAGCGTTAAGACCTGGCATTCCAGGCACACATATTTTTGTAGAAGCTCTGTAAGAGCTGATTGACATAACAGAGCGACTAATGTTTTTGGAGGGTGGGAGGGAAGTTATGCTCCCTCAGCTAAGAGGCTCAAGATGAGCCTCGAATGTCACTTCCTCCTTTTCTTTGGAAGTGACGCGCGAGCCTCATGGTCCTGTTGGAACAGGGGGAAGCCGCTAGCATCGTGACGATCCCGGACCTCCTGAATGTTCTGACAGTGCCTGATCGCATTTGGACGGCCTTCACCAATGTGGCCGGAGACCCTGGCAACGATGTCAGGTTGGTGGCAGCGATGCCACATTGGACGATCCCCCAGATCGTCGGTGCAGCGACCTTAGATGATGGCGAGCGGCTCACACCAATCCAGGCGGCTCAAGTGGGGTTGGTTTGGCGCAATGCTAGATGGGTCATACACCTGAGAGGAGGTGGCGATGCAGACAAATTCATCGATAGTGATCCATGGGCTATGCCAAGCAGCGGTGGACCTCCTGATGGACATGATGTGACAGGAGTAGGAACCTTGACGAAGGCGCCCACAGTGAGCAGTGCGTCTGGCAGCAAGGAGAACCTCCTGAAGATGGCCAACTTGGTGGACCAGACCGATGACTCAGAAATGAGGTTGCCGGATGCCTTGAAGCTCAACGAATGGTCCCAGCGGTATATTGCTGTGATGGGTGCACCGCCTCAGGAGGAAGAAGAACCCACTGATGCTCAGTTGGCCGCACTTCACCATAGAGTGGCTGTTCAAAAGCAGCCGCCATATGTCGACTTTTCGGTGTGGCTGCCCTTCGGTAGGAGAGTCCTCAAGAACCAGAAGTTTCGTGCTTTCATCCCGGTGGGTGATGGGTCGTTCATCATGAAGGAGCTCCCCGGTCCGCAGAACCTGCAACAATGGTTGGTTAGCTGGAGAGTGTTTAAAGTAGCGTGTATTTGTTTGAACATTGTGACGCTGGCCGCACTACAGCTCTATGAGAAGGTCATCGAGAAGTTGGTGCTCCAGTGGCCAAAGGCTTGGGGACTCATTGCACAAGCCGATGACAAGGCTAGGGCGGAGAAGTTGGAGAAGATCAGGAGAGCAGTGGTCCTCGACATAGCTGCCGGTAGGCCTCCCCCAAGGGAGTTCTCGGAAGAGGAACCTTGGACTGCTTGCTTCAGGGCCTTGGCGTTGGACGAGACCTTCTGGAACGAGCAGGTGAGACATCCGGCGGCGGCTTGGCTGGCCAGCGGATCACACGGATCCCCCAGACCTCCGGCAGAGGCCATGGCCTTGGCTCATCATCCGGGACCTCCTGTAGAACATGGGGATGGGGATGAGAGAAGCGAACGCAGAAGACAGGCCAATAGAGACAAGAGGTCAGCGAAGCGCAAGAGGTGGGCAGCCGAGCGTGAAGAGCTGACCAACTTCAGGGAGCAAAGATCCAAGGGGGACTTCAACAAGGGCAAGAGTAAAGGTAAGGGTAAGGACCAGGCAGGTCAGGAGATTTGTTACAGTTGGGCAAAGAACGTTGGCCCGTGTGCAGGCCTTGCAGCTGGGTCGGAATGCAGAGGCAAGGTCAAGCGGGTGCACAAGTGCATGTTGTGCCTCTCACCTTCTCACCCGAATGCGGAGTGTCCTAAGAAGACTGCATCCCCTGTGTGACCCTGAAGGGGCCGTGGGATAAAGGGTGCGGTTGGCCTCTCGTGTCATGCGAGAGGGGATGGGCAGATACGCGTTCGTGGAGCTCGGGGTTGAAGCCGGGGTGAGGAGGGGGGGGGGTTCGAGTAACGCTTTGGGGGTCGGATCGACGTCGGGTTTCGGTGTCGCCTCAATCGTCGCGGAGGACTCGGACTGGACGACTGGACAGAGTTCACGGGACGCCGGACAGCCAGGGCTCGAGGAGGGCGCGGGCTTAGGTCGAGCGACATGGCGGGATCTAGCAGGAGCCTGGACCAGCCGAGTGTGGATGACTTGCCCGAGCGAATCAGCGACGCCCTCAAGGCAGCCAGGGACTTCCCGGAGTACCAGGAGCTGAGGAAGTTCAGGTTTCTCCATATGTTCAGTGGCAAGGAGGATGTGCTCGGCAAGTGTCTCAGTGAAATGGCGAAGCGAGAAGGCTTGCAGCTGGAGGTATACAGCTTGGACAAGCAAGGCGAGGGAGATGTTGACCTGACCAAGGACCACCCGTTCATGGAGCTTAGAGAGGAGGCGAATGCATCAGCCTTCGATGCAGTGCACGCGGGCTTTCCTTGCAATACGTTCAGTCGGGCAAGATGGAACATGGTCAACAGAGGTCCTCCCCCCATCAGGTCACTGCAGCACATCTATGGCTTGCCGTCGAACTCACCGGAGGAGCAGCAACAAGCGGACGTGGGAACTTTGCTGGCGACGAGATCGGTGGAAATCGTCGGGGCCGTGTTGAAGGACCAGCGGAAACGCAGAGTACCTCAGGCCGGGACTCTAGAAAACCCTCCAGGAAGCGATACCAAAGAAGAAGGACCGGCTTGGGAACTTCCGGAAATCAAGACATTCATGGAAGTGTTCGAGGGTCAAGTGGCAGACTATAACACCTGCGCGTACCAAGGAGAAGATCGCGTTAGGTGGTACAAGCCGGGGCGCTGGGCCGGGCGGTTGTGGAATTTGGAGACGATGAGCAAACCCTGCACCTGCGGCCAATGGATCAGACATGAACCATTGGTGGGATCGAAGCGCACGGCCCAAGCAGCGCAGTATCCGAAGCAGCTTTGTGAGGAGTACTGCAAATTGGTCATCACTGCCTTCAAGCATACGCTGCAGCTGGAGTACTGGCGCAACAGGCTGGCCACAAAGACTGAAGAGGTGTCCGAGTTGAAGCGCAAGTGGCTGTTGAGCAAGGAGCGCATCTATCAGGGACACCCCGACGGACGACCCGCGGCTGACCCATCGAAGCGTGTGTGGGAGTCAACGCAAGCTTCACAAGACACCAGGCCACAGCTTGGCATGTCGAAGAAGGCGAGAAGAGAGGAGGAGAACGACCGCTTCATTGGTGGAATGAGGAATCCGGGACGTGCTGTAGAACGACTGTCAAGAGTGAGGCAGGTGGGCATGGACGTGTCTCGGATTTGGGATCGCTTCGTGTACGAATACCCGAGAGCGCTGGACATCGCCAAGAACTACGGGTCGGGTGGAAACAAGCCGGACATGGAGGTGGAGATGATGTGGAAAGGAGCTTTGAAGCAGTTCTTCCAAACGAGGGCTTTCACCGACATCATCCTCAAGGACAAGTACGAGTTCGAGTCACCCCTGGACCCGGAGTTATGGGATGCTTGGCTGAGGGCCGCGGCGGACCCGGAGAAGCACCTGGTAGAATGGATTCGCAAAGGGGTTCCGCTGGGCATGAGTAAGGAGATTCCATGCTGTGGCATTTTCCCGTTGGCGGACAACCCTGAATTGGACATGGAGGAGATGCCTGAACTGGCTGACCAACTGGGCACGGTCAACTACAAGTCCTTCACCGAGGAGCCAGCGCACGCCAGGGCGGAGTTGTCAAGGCTGGTGGAAGAAGGCTTCGCGGTGGTCCTCCCGACGGCAAAGGCGCAGGAGCTGCACAAGAGGGGCATCGTCTCGAAGTTGGCGCTTCTGATCAAGAGCAAGGAGGACGGCAGCGTCAAGCGGAGGATCATCATAGACTTGCTGCGGTCGGGCGGAAACGCCAGATGCAAGGTGCCGGAGCGGATCGTACTGCCAAGGGTGGTGGACGTGATTGACGGCTTCAGGTACCTGTGGAGCACGAGGGACCGCATGAAGAGCAAGTCGAGAGATGAGGAGTGGGAGCTTGATGAGGACCGGCCGGAGGGGGGCATCTTCGACTTTGAACTGGTGACGGCAGATCTGAGTGACGCCTACTGCCATTTGCCGGTTCACCCTGATGAGCACGCGAACTGCTTGAGCCCAGGGCTGCATCAATCCGAAACGCTCATGTGGGTCGCAATGCTCTTTGGCTTCAAAGGTGCTCCTCTATTGATGGGCAGGTTTGCTGCGTGCCTGGCGAGGATTTGGCAGTCACTCATCGCACCATCGGAGTTGCAGAGTCAGCTTTACATGGACGATCCGATGTGGATTCTACGCGGACCGACTTCCAGAAGGAACAGAAACCTGGCCCTCCTATTGTATACGGCACGAGCCTTGGGCATCAACTTGGCATGGCGCAAAGGGTCACGGGGAACCCAGCTCACCTGGATCGGGGTAATGTTTGAGGTCATCCAGGCTGAGGCAGTGGTCAAGCTCACGGTGCCGAGGAAGATGATGGCCGAGGTGACGCAAGCGCTGGAGGCATGGGAGTCGAAAGGAATGGTGAGCTTCAAGGAGGTGCAGCAGCTGACGGGGAGGCTCTCATGGATAGCAGGCATCCTCCCAAGAACCCGGTGGGCCGTCTCGATAATGTATGCCGTGCTCGCTGATGCCAAGCGCTCCGAAGATGAAGAAAGGCAACGTGCAGCGAAGCGGGTGGACCAGAGACCCAAGGTGGGGCTCATAGCAGTCAAGCGATTGGAGCTCCCACGAAGGTGGTTTGTAACGTTGTTCAAGGAGCCGGAGATCTTGGCCTTGAGGACGGAGCCGATGGTGGAGCTGCTGCCGGACTATGCCATCGTGACGGACGCCAGCCCGCAGGGGATTGGTGCACTGCTGGCGACGGTGGACCACACCATGGGGCCAACATTCACCATCATCGAAGGACTTGAGATTCCACTGGAAGAGGCCGATGCAAAGTGGTTGGGAGTGCCGTGGAAAGAGTCGGCATCACAAGGGCCACTGGAAGCATGGGCGGTCAAGTTGGCAGTGAGAAGATGGGCCACCAGATTGGAGGGCAAGAGCATCGTGCTGCGTAGCGACAGTGTGGTAGCTCTAGCCATGGCCAAGCGTCTGTCGTCGCCATCGCCAGTGGTGAACTGGGTCGGAGCTGAATTGGCCATCAGGTTCGAGAAAGCCGGCATCAAGAGGGTGGTGACGCAGCACATTCCGGGCAACTGGAACGTGGAGGCGGATTGGCTCTCACGACCTCATGAGCGAGGTGCAAAACCTGAGAGGCTGGACAAGGTGCCCATCAAGTCTTTCCCAAGGAACTTGATGCACCGTTCATACCTGTCCCCGCCCGGGATGGCACCCAGCAGACCTCGGGAGCCTTCGAGCTGCTCTGAAGGGATGAGGATGAAAAATTCGTCCATCATTCTCGGCTTGAGGGAGTCGACCGAGGGAAGGGGGGGGGGGATGTGACGGTATGTGTGCGTCGGTCGAGCACGGAGATGTCTTGCGTTCGATCGATGGTGATAGGCAGGATGCTCGACAAGCGCCGGGCGAGCACATCATGGCTCAAGTTATGGTGGTGCCGACGCCCGACCTGGCCCTAAGGGAAGACGCCTTGCCGTGGTCCCTCGGCGAGTACGCGGTGCTAGCCGGTTGGGCATTCTTTCTGCTGAGCCTCCTGAAGGGCCTGTGGAGTGCACTACACTGGCAAATCACTCCGCGGAAACCAGGGAGCGAAGACGGGGCGGAGAAGACGCAGGAACAAAGTTTGGAAGTGAAGGTATGCTCTCGGTGTGGCAGAACAAGCGAAGGAGAGGAGCTGAGAAGAGACCGGTCGCCATCGAGAGAACGAACAAGGAGAAGGCAAATCAGCATCACCCCAGAGAAGAAAAGGTCGGCAGGTCCCAGCTTGGCGTCCCCAGGGAGATCTCCAGAGGCACAAGCAGCTCGTACACAGATCCTCGAGGCCATGGTACAGAGAGCTCAACCCGTGGTGCAGGACTTGCACGACATGCACCGCCTTGGTGGAGTGGTTCCGGGGCCCATGCTGCGACGTGGATCCCGCATTCAGTGAGCACGAGAAGGACTATGGGGGTGATGAGCTTTGGATTCAGGGACCCCTCGAACTGCATGAATGAGTTAATTCGGAATCGAGTGCATGGTGAAACTCCTCATTTTGAGGAGTTGAAGCGGGTCAAACCCAAGGTGCAGGAGGCGGATGATGCGGCAAGACTTCCAGAAGAGTTGGAAGAGAAGAAAGGAGCCGCCAAGAGAGGTTCATTTGAAGAGGTCATGGACGTGCTGAAGGGCAAGGAAAGGTTGGCTGAGGCCAGACGAGAATTGAGGGAGGACTTTATGGCCGACTCGTCCAGGGCATCCCAGAAAACCAAAAGAGAACAAGTATTGTCAATGGCCATGGAGGCGTGTGGGCAAGGATGCCGACCCTTCCCGTTGAAGATCGAGACGGTGGAGAATGTGGCAGCGGCGATAAAGGCCGTAGGTTGGACCTCGGGAGACCAATACATCAACGAGTTGAAGTTGATGCACATCGAGGCCGGCTGGGATGTCAGCCAACAACTGCATAGGGCGATGGCCGACTGCAAAAGATCGCTCAAGAGGAACAGAGGGCCAGTGAGAAGAGCACCTGAGTTCAAGCTGGATGACATCGAGCACATCAAGTGGATCCTCGTTTGTCGCGGCCCCAAAAGGACTATCAGACCAGCACTGTCATACGCCTGGGCGGTCATATGGATGTTGAGGGAGATCGAAGTCAGCGCCATGAGATGGAAGGACATCACGGCGGACTGGGTCAGAAAGAGAATCTCCGTCTTCATCCCCATTTCCAAGTGTGACCAACAGGCTTTGGGAGTGCGCAGGACGCTGCAGTGCTGCTCCTTCAGAACCTGCCAGAGATGGTGCCCCTGGAGAATATGGATGGAATTGTGGAAGGCCCTTCGTGGAGAGCAAAGAGATCCACACGAATTCGTTTTCCAGGACTCTGAGAACAAAAGACTGTCCAAAGCGAAGATGGTGGAGGGGTGGGCCATGGTGACCAGACCTGACATTCAAGGGCATTCGGCCAGAAGATCGGGTGCGATGGGCTACGTCAGACTGGGCATGCCTATACAAGAGCTGGCATTCCTGGGACGATGGAAGTCGTCAGTGGTGCTCACCTATGCTGAAGATGCCTTGCAATCAGAACCGGCCAACAGGAACCTGAAGTCGAACGATGATTGCAAGCCCAAGAGACCACCCAAAAGTCAAGGTAATAAACCAGCCGGGACATTGGATGTAGCTCCGGAACCTCCTGCAGTGTCACCTTCACAGGGCGAGGTCACGGAAGAACAAAACCGAAGTGGGGACATATGCAACGTGGTGGTCACGACACTGCCGAAGAAGTTGTGGGTGGCTTCAACAGCATACAACTCACGAGAACGTGTCTGGCACCAAGTTGAAGATGCAGGATGGGATGTGCCCATTGAAGCTTGGACATCAGTGTGCGGTTGGCCCTTCAGCCGGAACTCCGCAAAGGTGATTCTCAACTCACAGCTCACAGTGGCACAAAGGAAGTGTAAGAAATGTTTGAGAAGAACTTGCGGCATGGCCAGTGAGGAGAACAAGGGCAAGTTCCACATGACTGGTGTGGATGTTGAACT